ACCAGTCTATAAGCAGGAAATACCAAAGAAGAGTTGTGTTAGTATTAGTTGTGTTAGCAAGAATCTAGCAGTTGTGTGGATATTAGTAGCTGAGGATGTGTGTATTGACTTGCTTGTGATGTCCTCCGGGCAATGGACTAGGAGTTAATCTGCCTCCAGCCTTAACTGCCCTCGTGACGCTTTGTCTCTAAGGCATTGAACCAAGCCTCCAAACATCTGGGACCAGTTCTGAGCTACTTGAAACTTCCTTTGTGACCTTGGGCCAAGCTACTCACGTGCACTGGTTTCTTGTATCTAAAGCAGTGATGGCACTAATATTGTGCCTTTGGTCTGTAGTGTTGAGTGTGTAAATACACAGAGTAGCAATGGCTTCTGCTGTCTGCTCTGCACAAGTAAGAGTGCTGGTCCCTGAAGTCTCTGGGTGCTTCTGTATCCAGATAAGTGAGGCTATAAATGTGGATCTGACGCTCATCCTTTGACTTGAAAACATTGAGTTGTTTTTTAGGTGGCTTGGCCTTTGCTCTAGCCCACTGCCCCAGACAATTTTGTGAGTAAAGTTACTACAGCCAGGAAGAAATAAATGGCGAAGCAAGAGGACAAATATGGTCTTGTTTAAAGGAACTATTGGGTTTTATCATGACCTAAAGCAATGTGCTTTATTCAGCAATTTTTAAAAACAGGAAGCTCTATTTAAAAGGCTATGGCACTTGCTGAATCATGGAGCAAGAGAAAACTGAGCGCAAGAATTAGTTTGAACAGAGCAGATTTTACAGTTTTCAGAGCTTTTCTTATATCTTTAATGTGCAGTCTTAATTGCCTTAGATCCAGCAGAAACGTTGTTAGAATACTACCCTGGTGCAGCAGGGAGGTGAAATCTAGGTAATCATTTGAGAAGTCCGCTTTCATAATGGAGACTGCTAATATAAAAGCAACCCCCCTCTTTAATGTGAAGGGGTTTGGGGGGACTAAGGGAGAAAAAGCAAACAGCGGTGGTAGTCGAATTGGCTCCAGACCTTCTCTGAGCTTTATTGGAAACTTGTATTTACAGCATTCTCCTTCCTGCGCAGGGATCTGTTTTTCTGTTTAATCAGAAACAGCCCAAAATCACACTGTACCTCAGTAGTAGTTGGCTTTGTACCTGTTTCTCTCAGTACCATATTTCCATTTTACAGATGGGAAAACTGAGGTCTAGAAGTAGAGCTTTTCCCAAGGCTACATCGCACGGCGGGGAGTATAGCCCTCGTGGCCTCCAGAGCAGTCATCTATGCCCCAGCTTGCAAGGCTCAAAGAGTATCGCAGTGGTTTGGTGTTAGGATTTCCTGCGTTTTGTTCAGTCTTGTCTATTTTTGCCAAAGGTGACTTTTGTACTGCCCCGTTTTGAACTGCTTCCCCTCTGCCTTGTAAAATCAGGGCAACGGGTCTGTATGTAGGTCTTGTTAAGATAAAATGATTCAGGCTTTACCACTGTGTGATCTCACGGCACCATAAATAAGTGCTCATCTCTTTCTCGTTTCATTTCTCATCTGCAAACCATTGGAGTTAATATGTTTGAGGTGGGGATGCCAGCCCGGGCCTTGCTGTGAGCATCTGGGCCTTAGCACAGCGGGAGCTTAGTGACTGGAGGGGGAAACCTGCCCAGCTGCTGCCTGCTCCTGATTTCCCTGCAGTGATTGCTGTGTCTCTATAAACCCCGCTTACTTGATTCTTAATGTATGATTTTTATTGTTCTCCACGTTGTGAAATGTGCTCGCACTGGGCTGAACCAGGAGTTAGATGCTGTTCCATATTTATTTGTCTGACAAGAGTTGCCAAAGTGGGACTGGCGGAACGGGGCTCTGCGTGCGCGTGAGCTTGACATCTCAGTCTTGCCGAGTTGTTCCTGTTGACTTAAACCTCTTTAAATTTCCCTATCTGGCTTGAAAAGACCTGACAAAGTCCTCACTTTAAAAGTTCTAATTTTAATCCCAGAGTATCCACCACCTCCTCAAAGTGGTCTGAGGGGCTTTTCCTAATATTTTAGATTAGAGCCTGGCTTTGTTTCCAGTAGTTCTGCCACAGTTCCTACAGATTTTGCCAGAGATGTCTTTCAGATCAGATGCACCAGGCACTGCGAATAGTGCTCTGGGGGAACCGCAGTGTCTTTCAGAAGTAACATTCCCGTGCTAGTGTTTTTCCAGCTCCTAGTTTCTGCGGATCATAGTGGAGTTATTTTCCTGTGTTTGGATCTAGCACGAGAAGCTTGGGATCTTATCTTAGTCTGTCACCTTAATGCTATGCATTGCATAAATAAAAATGGGATGAAAGATTTGGTTCCTGTTAAGTCAGGAGAACTGTATGGCCTTCCTAGCAGGGCTGGAGAGGAAGAGGAGGGAAGAGACTGATATACTTCACTGCAGTCCTCCCATCTAAATATAAATAGTTCTCTTCTTGGATCCTTTCAGTCTGAACTTCTGGGTGATTTGACCTTTCTTTCATAAAAGCTTTCTTTATTTCCAAGAATAAAAGGGCAAGGGGGAAGAAAGGACACAGCAGATATTTTTTTTAAATATCTTAAAATCTTAGCAGTTGACTTTGCGGTATCCAGGGCTTGCTGTTGAACCAGCTCCATTTCGGACTCCAACTTTTTTCCTCCTCTGAGTCCCTTGAGTAAATTTTCTCCTCCTTTGAGTCCCTTGAGTAAACTTTGCGTTTTATTCTAGAGCATTAACTAGAATATTTCTAAGGAAGCTTGTGGAAGTGTGTTTTCTCACAGCGAGCCCACATTCTGGTGGAGGCGGGTAGCCGGGGCTCCGGTCCCCAGTCTTGCTGCCGACTGGGTGGATCGCTTTGAGCAAGTGACTTGGTTTATGGCCATTACACCACTAACCTTGGTTTTCCTTATTTCCTAACTTCAGCTGAAAGAAATATTTGTATTAAATGCTGCTGGTTTCTCATATGTATACCCTGAAGCTTTTTGAGCTCAGCATCAAAACACAGCTCTGTTTAATGTGTAAAACCACTGGACTCTCTGGCTTTGGTCGGGTTAGCAGCCTGTGCAAGGGGATGTGCAGGCGCAGTATTTATAACTGCTCCAGACTACACGCAAGTCTTTCTGGCACTAGTTTTAACCATTAATTGCCACTTTAAATCCAGCAATAAATTATTTGGGCAACCACACTGCATAAGCCCACTGCCAAAAATAAACCAGAGCCTGCGAATCACTCGGGTCCCCTTCATACTTCAGGACTGTTGCAGTTGGATGGGGTAAGGCACCTCCTGGACTCAATCTGACTGGTTTTTTGGTGTCTCACATACCTTCTGGATGTACTTTAAACCATCACGCTGCAAATGATGTTAGCAGGACTTGAAATGCATTGCACGCATGTATTGGTTTGCTGTTCGCTTCTGAAGCACGGGATGGTGTGTGGTGTGGCGGTGTGCAGGAAACCTTCTGAGCCTTTGCAAATTGGATTTTGTGGCTTATTTCCCTGTCTTCTTGGATAGTTTCGCCATAGCTGCCTCTCCTCTAGTGGAGCTCGTGTCTGTCTCAGGACTGCAGAGCCTTTTGTAATGCTCTGCCGGATCAGGAGTCACTTGGAGGGGAGAGACTTTCCATTCCAGAGCGCGCTCCTGAATCCCACCTGAAACGTGCTTGAGAGTAAGCGTGCTCCTCAGTTGACTTCCAGATTTCCGCTTGGTCTGCACGAGATTCCTGTGTTGGTTTGGTGCCTTTCCTGCTGCTTTTATACGCTATGGTATAGAGTTTTTTCTGGCTAGGAGCCCTCTGGTAATGACTGTTATTTTAGAAAACGTAGTTACTGCTTGGGCTGTCTCTGTATCGTACAATGAGTCGTAGCGATTACATGCTGGAGAGGAAATGAAATGATCAGGAAAGGCTTACTTCATAAAGAGCAACAGGTTGACTTGATTTTTAAACCACTTAATTTGGGGATTAGAGGGTGCTGTTAAGTTCTACCATTAGTTAACAAAGCAGGAAAATGTACTGTATTAGCAAAAGCATGTTTGTCTAGGCTCGTAATAAATCCGGTATAATTCTTGGATGTATTAAGCTTAAAACAGGCCAGCATACAAGAACAATGGGTTGTAACGGAGAGGGCGGCCTTCGGGAAAGGTGTATGGTTTCAATTTGCTTGTAGGAACGTATTGATTTGAGTCCACGTGCCCTTTCTGGGAGAGGGTGGTAGGTAGCACTGGTGGGGTGGCAGTAGAAACCAAACTCCTTTAACAGCAAGCTCAAAGAGCAGTGCCAGCTGCTTCCCCATGTGTTTCTCCACTGTTTTTAAACAGGACACCTTGCAGGGGTTAGAGGGAAGATTAATTCTCTACAGGATTAATCCTTAAATCCTTGGTGTTCAACTTCTGATCAAGGGAGGGAAGTTAACAGTATTCTCAGAAGCGCTCGGAGACCACCTACTCTTTCATATAGACTGCCAACAGCTGTCAGATGGAAATGATTTTTGGACAGTAAGAAGTCAGTGTGGAATCACACTGGTGACCAAGAGCAGGCTCTGTATCCCACAGTCTTTGACTTACACTCCTAGTGACTCTTGCAATGGAGGGAAGAGGGTTTCCCAGACCCATCAACTCTTCAGAGGGGTGTGAATTAGCGGTGGGTCGATGGTTTACTGTCTCTTGTGGTTAACTTTAATAGGCACATGTTCCTCTGAAGATGCTTTTTGGCGAACACATGTATGGCTGAAAGATGTCTAGTAGCAGGAGAACATGGGAGCTCTGATATAAAACCGGGATGGTCCGATAAAGCATCGAGTCGTGAATCCCTGTGCCGGCTGTGTGCTTTGTGACACTAACCCCTCTGCTTGACGCAGTGCTGTGCGGTCTGTTCTCTGTATCACTGCTCTTAACCACAGCTGTCCAGCCACTGGTTTGCTTCCAGTTAACCAACTTGGTGTGAGAACTCTGCTGAAACTTGTCCTTGCCAGCTGGCTGGCTGTTTGGTGTATGCCTAAGTGTTCCCTGTACGTTTTCTGTCTTGCAGCATCTGGAGAGGGCCAAATGTGAACTGCGTTGACAGTACTGGATACACTCCACTGCACCATGCTGCTTTGAATGGTCATAAGTGAGTCATCTTATAATGCCTTTGATCACAGGGGATAGTATGTGCTTTACAAGCTACGGTTTCTGTGTAATTCATTCACGAGTCTAACGCTGTTTCCACTGAAAATGTGGTGATGGTGCAGCACTACACCATCTTCAGGACAAGAAGCGAAGAACATCGGTGCAGTGAAGCTGTAGAAGCATTGGCTGCTGCACAGTATGATCATACATCTCTCCCAAAATTTGGTGAAACTGAGGTTTTCAACCACCCTTTTATTTATAAGCAATTTGGATAAGATATATCAACATGTTAAAGGTGGCTTCTCCAGTAACAGTCCTATGCAGTCTGTCTGGTGTCCAATGTGTTGCTGTGCCTGCACCACTTAAAATTTGCTTTCGTGCATATTACATTTTTAAGTGACTCCAGCCTTCAGCATGGTAAATCTTGTATTGTTCACTGCTACTTAAGATACTGAGAAATTGAATAGAGTTAAAATCTTTATTCATTTTCATTGTGCTGGTGTAACTCAGCTTTCACCAGAGTGGCTTGTGGATGACTTCAGTCCCTGTTCAGCTCCGTTAGCATGAAGGTAACCTAGATCTTTCCTGAGCTCATCTCAGCAGTCGTTCATTTTATTTTTCTTTCCCTTGGGCAACATTTAATAGGAACACTTTAAAATCCCGTTTCAAGAGGATCTCTGAAATACTCCTCTTCAGATTAACTGTTTGTAAAATACTTACTGCAGAATGTAAGCCGTGAAACAAGGACTGAATATCTTACAGACTGAAGTTTCCTTCTCTTGCAGGGATGTTGTGGAAGTTCTGCTGAGGAACGACGCGCTAACCAATGTAGCAGACTGTAAAGGCTGTTACCCTCTTCACCTGGCAGCTTGGAAAGGAGATGCAGACATCGTGAAGCTCCTCATTCACCAGGGACCTTCACATACTAAAGTGAATGAGCAGGTCTGCGTATTTTTCTCTAATATATTGTTGAATTGCTTCCCTCGATGGAGAGAGACTACTTCAGCTGACTCCTAACCCTCCCCAAACTAGCAGCAATTGTTATAAAGTCGTACTTGCTAATGGGATAAGAAGGGCACTGCCTAAAGCAAATACCTCCAGTTCTGAGTTAGTGGTTGAATGAGTAAAGTATATATGTTTATGTAGAGATATGAGAACCACTCAACACCTAGGAAGTGGTCTCCTGCTTTCATACTGGGCTTCTAAAACTAATCCATAGTTTTTCCTTTCAGTTGCTGGATAGCTGAGAAGGTTTCTAGTTCTGTCAAAGGATACATTGGCTCCCTTCTTTGGGAACTAATCAAAGCAGCTTTGTTTAGTCTTTGTTTGGCCATGCTCTCTTAGCTCCTCTCCTGGCTTGTCTCTAGCACTTGCTCCAGTTAACTAATTTGTAAATTGTAAAAATAATTTTAACCCTACTTGCCCCCAGATAAATCCCGAGCTTAATCTTAAATTTTCTCAATCAGGCAAGAAAAAAAAAATCTGGTGGATTTCTTCCCTTTGTCAAGCTGATAGTTTTTGGTCTAGGATGCGGAGGGATTGATTTGTATGAGATAGTTACTCTGTACAGCAGCTGCTGTGTCCACTTTGGAGGGCTGGCTGCCATGTAACTTCCCTGTGGAACTCAACAGGTGTCTTTACAATTCCAAGTAACTTCTGAAATGCTATTGCTGGAAGACCGAAGTATTTCTTTTGTTTAAGAGTTTTGGATAAGAGAACTGCTTTACTGAGTGAGGCCAGCTGAGCCGTGTTACTGAACCACTTATGGCTGAGTGAGCTTGGGCAGACATGCAGGAATGGATCCAAATCAGATGGTAAAAGCTACAATAGCCCTTGGTTGTCCTGTCCCTAAGGCAGCAGTATCTAATGTCCCTGTGAATCAACTAAACCATTCAAGTTTTCATCCAGGAGGAGAGGAGTAAACCAAAACAAACTTTTCTGCCTTAGTACCACAAGGCTAAAAATGTATATTCATTCAGAAGTTAATTCACGAGTAGGTTAGATACTCATGGCTCAAGTTTAGCAAAATCTGTCAAAGTCAACATGAGCAGCTGGGAACTGTGAGTTTCTGCTGTTTAATTTTGATCTGTAGTGTCTACTTTTCAGAAGCTGAGGAGCAAGCTCCCTTCAGAGTCGAGTTTAGGAGTCCTAATCCTGCTTCCAGCCATACTTTGTGGGGACCAAAGTGCTGTGCTTAAGTTTTCTGTTCCTCCGTATAAGACGGATGACTTGATGCATCAGGCTGCTCCAAGGCTAAATGGTTGCTTCTAAAGCATCACGAAATGAAAAATATGGTGGTAATGCTATTCACTACCACTTGACAATTGAGCAGAAATAATTAAGACTGTGCGTTTTAATGTCTTTGATAGTTTTCCAGTTTGGGGCTGTGGTTAATAATGTCTTCAGGCACAGCTGCAGGCATTCAGTCTGTTTAAATAGATGTGAGAAGTGTAGTTAGCTGTTTGCAATCAATCTGGTAAGAATTGACTGAGGGCCCTGAGTGTAAACTATTCAGCTCCAAGTAGGACAGGTATAGGGGACACCTTTGCAAAAGATTACAAGCTTAGTGTAATCCTTCCAGGTAATGTTTCATTAATGTCTGTTGAGTAGGAGCCTTTTTAAATGAGAAAAGTCAGCCGAATAGCCTGTGCTGCTTGTGTTTGGAGTCTTGTAAATGAAATGCACAGTGGTTCAAGTTACAGGAATCGGCAGCTGGAATGGCTTCTGCTGTTAATAGCTTTGACTGGAACAAGATGCTGTGTTCTGTCATTTCCACCCCTTGGGAGTCACCCATTGCTTTGTTGCTATATCTCACCCATTTCATTATCACATTTTTTTCTTTTTCCTCTTCCTTTTTGTAGAATGCTCTTGAGATCAAAGAACTCAAAAAGTACGGCCCCTTTGACCCATATATCAATGCCAAGGTGTGTACTTTGCTGTCAGCATTTCACTGCATCATTACTCCAAGCTGCACTCGCGTGCTTCCAGGTGCAATGTCATCCAGTTGCAATAATACCTGTTCAGTTTGCAGCTGCTTGGGGAAAATTCAAATGCGACCATTTATTTACTGTGGGTTTCTTTCTTCAAAGCAGTTATAGAGACATAATTTAAGGGAAGCTTTTCCTTACTTTCCTGGGGGCTTCTTCATTGCTTAGCCTTGTAGGACTCACGGTGATGGTCAGTTTGCTTGATTTGGCTGGATGACTTCCAAAAGGTAATGTTATTTCTATTACAATCCTTTAGGTTTTGTTTCATGTGCTAATGTAGCTGATAAATGCAAAGAGAAGGAATTTTTTTTTCCTGCTTAAACATGGATGCATTTTCTCTGTGGGCTGTTTGGAGTGAATTTTCATGCCTTTTCTCCTACAAAATGCATAATGCTGTACTTGTCGTTTGAATGGACAGTTAATTCTTGTGGTGGTGGTGGTGGGGAGAAGGGAAGGCAGTAATGTTGATGCCTCCCTTCCCAAGTCCTTCATGTCCTGCTTATTGCATCAGTCTCGCTTTTTTTATGTTAAGTCTGTTGTGTCGTCTGACCCTTCAGCCCTAATCTTCTGTTCCTGTTTTCTTGCCTATTTTGCCCCTCTTGCTTTTAGTTGTTCTTGAGCTACAAAAAGGCATGACATCAGCACTCACGACGCACTGAGGCTGAGCAATTGAGGAAGCAGATAAGAAAGTTCCTGGGGTCACCCAGTGCATAGGTGGGGATGTTTTCTCAGACACTCACCGTTTTTCATTTTTATTTATAGTGAAGCTGCGGGCCAGTGATGGCATAATAGTCTGATGATTTATCATGAGATACTTCTGCTGTAAGCCACCACACCACAGTTGCTTCCAGCCAATTACTTTGGATCCAGCCATGCACGGCAGACTTCTGTCTTTCAGAGTTTGGTTAAAACTTCCACTCTGCTTGATCTGCAGTACCTTAAAAACATGCATTCAAAATTCCCAAGCTTGCTGACTGCTCAGAATTATGTTTATTTTTGCAGACTTCTATTTCAGGAAATACTCCAGTGCATACCTCTTTAAGCACAACTATATTTATATGAAGCTCATCCGTATCGGTGATTTTTACAAAAATCCAGATGGGAATTTTACAGCAACAAATGTCTTCTGTGGGAACATATCAGCTGAGCAGTTCAACTGCCTGAAAGGAGCTCTCTAAAACATTGTCAATAGGAGAGTAAAATCTTGTGCACTCCAGCATTAAAATTTTGAATGAAGGACTATAAAGATGAAATTGAGCTTGCTTTCTTGTGGATCTTTTTATCTATTTTTGATTTTATCTTTTTGACAAGTGCATTATTTTAAAGTCTCAGTTTAGTTTTCAGGATGGCTGTAGTGCTCTTGAGAACAAGGCTCATGTTCTTGAAATGTTTGCCTTGGTTTTAAGGAGAGAGGTATGATTTATACACAACCTGTTAGGTTCCTCACAAGTTCTGACCAGCTTTCCACTAGTTTCAGACCAAGAAGAGACGAAGTGACGAAGAGCATGTGGAATCATACCTGTCACGCAAACCTCGATGTTTTCTCAATAGCCTGGCTGCAGATGGGAGAATCAAAAAAAAAAAGTCCAGATGCGAAGTGTAAGAGTCCTTGCTTAGCTGGTGCTTCCAGCTTCTTGGCTCCCATGCAGGATGGGCTGCCATATAGAAACGATCCAAGCGAGATGTTTCATCTTTCCAAGTATTTAGAAGAGGGGGGAGAGCATTTCTGTATGGCTGGACAATTTAATACCCTGCTGAGGAAGAGATAGGGAAGCCAGAAGCTTCTTGCTCTCCTAAAAGTTAAAGAAAAAGTTAACAGCTTCTTTTTATGCCCCTTCCTTTTCAACATCTTTTGTTCAGTAGGAGGTTCCAGTAGTATGTCTGTTACAGGCTTGAAGGACTTCTGAAAAGCAAATGATAGAAGCAAAGTTAAGAGCTGGAGCAGCAACTTTGCTTCAGTAATTCCTGCTACCGTGATTTTGGTTATTTAATTTGTATGAAGGAACCAACCAGTTGAGCAGAGCCAAAGTAGAAAAAGCTGTCACAGCTCAGGTTTGTGCACTGCACAAACTACTTTTGTCTTTTTTAATTGGAAGCAAATGAATCATGCAAATTGGGTTTAAAGTGCTATAAATCTAAATGAGCTGCTGAGAAAAGTGGAAGCCTACCATCTGGAGCCTGCAAATGAAACTGGGCACCGAACCCACCTGCAGAGCTCCCAAAAGCTTGTTGGCCATATGGGTATCATTTTTTTTTCCGCTGAAATGTGTTTGGCATTGTTGGGCACCTGTAGGAAGAAAGGTGGCCTGTTCATCCTTGCTCTGCTCCTGGCAGAGCCGTGTGGGACACCGATGGGAATCATGTGCTGCAAAAGGAGGGAAGGACATGGTACAACTGAGCGGGCAGCTCCAGCCACTCTTCTGGCCTGCTTTGTGCCCGAGGTTGTGATGTGCCTTGGCTGTCACCTCCTGGCGAAGTTTTGGGGTTTGCTTAATGTGTTTTGTTTTTTTTTTTTCCCTTTCATTTCGGCCCACCTTTCACTGAAATGGCAGATTGTGGGGTGCATACCAGCAGGAGATCCCTGTTCTGTGCTTAGGATCAAATGTGTCACTGGAGCAGCAAAATAGCAGGTTTTTAATAGGGCAAGCCTCCGTTAGGCATGCAGACGCTGACAAATTCTGCAAAGGAACCTTAGAAGTAGGTTGGATGGGACTGAAGGGTCACATAGCCTCTTTCCCCAGCCCTGAGGCAGGATCAGGTCTACCTAAACCATTCCTGACCAGTGTTTGCCTAGCAGCTTCTCAAAAAACTGAGGGACAGCTCTATAGGTCTCCCTTGGCAGCTGATTAGACTGTTCAAATCTTTGCAGGTTAGAAACTTAGAAAACTTCCCTTATTTAAACCGAGTCTTCCTTTCTTCAATCAAAACCACCTTACAGTGTGTTAGGAACAGGAGTGCAGACAAATACACTTTAAGGGGCTGTAGATGCTCCATTTTAGCATCTGATGGGGAGCGTAAGGGCTATGGTATGTGGTATCTAGTTACCAGGGCTTGAAAAATTTGATGGAGCCCATATGAAAGCAGAGACATTTCTGCTTGTGTTCCCATTTTGTGGTCTGTAGGCAGGCATCCTACGAGCCAGCTTCTCACTCCCAACTGTGAACTGGGGGGGGATGTGAGGTTTTCTGCAAGAATGCAGCCCCTGGGTCCTGTTGAGTGCTCTATTTTTTGAAAAAGAAGTTTTGAAATTTGAACCTATATGCCTTCTGGCTGCTGGAAAGGCATTTTTCTTTTTCCATCTCTGATAAATACGTATGTCTGAGCGATCGGGCTCATTGCTCAGGCTCTCCTCTGGTTTGTGCTTGGAGAGGCGATGCAGGGAAGGGAGGCAAACTCCCTTGCCTGGAAAGGCTCTAGGATTTTTGTCTGCTCAAAACTTTGCCAACATGGAGGCAATAAAGACTTATGCAATAGCAGGAGTTTCCAGTACACAGTCTGTGATGGGGAAAGACTTGCTGGAATGGTTCAAGGGAGTTTACCACCCGGTGATCCCTGTTGCGGGAGGAAAATCTGGGGATTTCATCCCGAGTGTCAGAGCCCTGACCTGCTTAAGGAAAATTAGACTGAATTGCTGTGAAGATGGGGGAAGTCTTCAACAATTATGTTATTAAAGGATGTTATGTTCCCATTTCTGAGCCATCAGGCGGGTGTTTGGAGTTGCTGCGTGCTTTGAAGCACACTTGAGGGATGAGAGGGGGACACTCCTAGCAGTGGAAACCCCCTGTAGCCAGGGCTGGCGTGGCATGAGCAGTGCGTACCCCCATGGCTCTTCGGCAGATACCTGCTGCTCCACAGGGGCTGGGGTCGTTTACTCTTGCTGCAAAAACTGGCAGCAAGCCTCCCTTGTGCTGTGGGGCAGGCTGAGGGCCTCGGTCTGGCTGTGTCATGGGCTCACCCGTACCTGGGCTCCCTTCCCTGTCAAATAGGAATAATGCAGTTTACCAACCTTTTGAATGCCTCAAGACCAGCAGCTTAAGCTGATTGGGAGGGGTAATCTCTGTAGTTCTCTCTTTCCCCTTCTCACTCCATATGTGTATTTTATGTGCAGACTTCTTTATTCTACAGTAACTTCTGTCCACTTGTATGTGCCTTCCTTCACCATGGCTGCCTCTGCCACTCCAAGTATAGAGCCTGTTGTTTGACTTTGAACTTCTCTGCTAACAGTGATGCCATGCTTTCCTTCTTAAATATCTCACTTCTGCATGTGGCTGTCGCTGCTTACTGTCTCCTTAGTCTTTGCTTTTATACAAGTTGCAGCTGCAGAACCTCTCCAGAGCTCCTCGCTTCCCTTATGCTTTTCACTGAAAAATGGTGCAAAAACCAGATAAAAACAAATGGGAGGTTGCATGCATGACTCCTGTAATCCCTAGAATGACTTAACACGTTAATAGGATTAAAGTACTTGTACAACAGAGCAAGTTCTGCAGCGTGGTTGTGAAATGGTGCAAAATACTGACCGCTCCTACAGGCTGGTATCCAAAAAAGTGCATGGGTTCTCAAAGCAAAAAGGAAGGTATTTTGATCAAATTCAGTTTCTAAAGTAGTACTTCTAACTCCACTGAGACAAGTGCGTTCTCTGCTTTTTTTTTTTAGTGGGTACTTTTCCTAAAATGACAAATTGAACCATGATTCTTTCAGCTAATGTTGAAGCGTGTAACAGTTTGTACTGAAGTTTCTTGGGTCAAATTGTTAGATAAGTATTTGTTTCTAAAGTCCTTTAACAGAAAACCCTGTGTATAACACACAGTAGTAAAACTAGAAACCTGAAGTGAATTTAATTTGAGAAGAGGCTCTTTCATCTGGCAATGTTCCTATTTTGCACCTGCAAGTGAATGTGGTAGGTTGCTTGTCTTTCAGTGCTTTGCATTGCTGATTTTTAACCTGACAGATGTTGCATGCATTAATTGGATCTGGCTTTCACTGTGGAGGTGTTTTCTTGTTGCTTGGACATCTCTTCCCTCAGTTGACCTGAGACCTTGGCTACAAGGGCTTGTTAGTGGAGTGATCTAATCGCACTGCTTTCTAATTCACGAACTGCATGTAACTTAATGCACTCTTTCTCTAAACCAGCCAGCTTGCGAGCTTCAGAATTGCAAAGGTGGAATGACTGTTATAATCAGGATAAGTAGGATTTGAAACAATTGAAGTTTAAATCTAAAATGATGACGATTAAGCTACAGCAGATAGAATTCGTGCTGCGGTTTGCCTATCATATACTGCAGCCTTTTATTTTTGTGGCACTTTTATAGGTGTGGGGTGCTGCCAACAAATAGCAGACTGCTTTCCCCAGGTGCTAGTAGTATTAATGGGAATCCAGATGCAGCTCGATAATCCCTTAAACTTTAGTGTGGTCCCTTGATTTTTAACCTCAGTGCTTTGAAAGCAAGCTATTCCATATATAGCACATTTCCTGTAGAGCAGATTTCCCATATCTGGGTAAAGGTTATTGTTTTGAATGTTTTTGAAGCTTTTACTGGGTGGGTTGGTTGATGAGTTCACGAGGGGATGTCTGTGCCTGGTAAATGGCTAGTGACATGGTGAAAACATTGCTCCAGGCTCTGTTTCAAACTGGACTCTCTGCTTCCCGACTGCTTTTTTGTCGTCGTTTTGCATTTAAACTTCAATGGTTCGAGCGAGGCGTGGAGCAGCTCTGTTCTCCCCTGTTCTGACGCGCTGGCGTTTGTGACCCCCCAGAACAACGACAACGAGACGGCGCTGCACTGCGCGGCGCAGTACGGCCACACCGAGGTGGTGAAGGTCCTTCTGGAGGAGCTGACTGACCCCACCATGCGCAATAACAAGTTTGAGACTCCTCTGGACCTGGCTGCGCTCTACGGGAGGCTGGAAGTTGTGAAGATGCTCTTGAATGCTCACCCCAATCTTTTAAGCTGCAACACTAAGAAACACACTCCCCTGCACTTGGCAGCTAGGAATGGTCACAAAACTGTAGTCCATGTCCTCCTGGATGCCGGCATGGATAGCAACTATCAGGTATCTAGTGTGTCTGTGTGTGAAGGGCTGGTCTGATGGCTGGGGGACAGAGAATCCCTGTGGTCATGTTACAGAAAAGCTCCACCTAACCTCTTCCCAGAGGGATCGTTTATGAAAGATGAGTGATAGTTTTGTTTTCTTCTGGGCTGTTTGTTCAGCTCTTGGTTGCTCTGAGAAGCTGCTCAGAGGGATTCTGGTGCTGTGCATGCTTCACGCCTGCTTGTTAGTTGGACAAAGAGCCCCAGACACATAGCGAGGGAGAAGAAAAAGCCCTTTTGCCTAAGCTGTTCTGCCTCTGTGCTCTTGATAGAGATGGAGGCAAACTGTGTCTCTTCCTATCAAGCCACTTGCGAATATGTTGTTTTCACAGCAATGGCTTGTATGTAATGGTCTTGTCTTTCCTTTGCAGGGCATGACCTCTTGCTAAGCTGTAAAAAGTCCTTTCTTGGTCTCTAACCTGGGCACACACGCATCTCTGAAGGAGACCATCCTCATTTGCCATTCCAAATTTTCAGCGTTGTAATAATATTCATAGTCTGTCCTCCGTTGTAGATATTGTTGCCCACACTTTGTATACGATGCTGTATATTTATTGCTGCTGTTAACCTCCTAAAACATGCTTCCATCACCATTCCTCACTATCTAGCTTCATGCTGTTTTTCCATTTAATTTGCAGACTGAAAAAGGCAGTGCTTTGCACGAAGCTGCTTTGTTTGGCAAGACAGATGTGGTACAAATATTGCTGGCTGCAGGTGAGAGAACGGTCCCCTTTTGAACCAACAATGTGATGATCCCTTCACCCAGAACTTGAGGAAATGCCTTTGTAGTGGCAGCATGTTTCTCCAACCAGCTATCAAAGTTCCTCGGAGAGGGTTATAGGAGAGGTTATCTCTTGGTGTTTGGCTTTAGGTCTGCTTCTCTAGAGCATTTTTTAGCTTCTCCCCTCCCCGTGATGATTCATCAAGTCACATCTTACATTTGCAAAGACAGGAATTTGCACATAGTTAGAAAATATTCTTGCTTTTGCCTTCTCTACACCTATTGCTGTAGGTATTGATGTGAACATAAAGGATAACAGAGGCCTGACAGCTTTGGATATTGTGAGGGAACTTCCTTCTCAGAAAAGCCAACACATAGCAGCTCTTATCGAAGGTAAGTGATGTAGCTCAGTGTGTGGGCAGGAGGGAAAATTTGGAGTGCTAATTGTGCCAGTGCAAGTACAAGATTTTGTTCTCTAGTCCTGGAAAGTGCTGAAAGCAAAGCAGCTTCAGGCCAGGTTTAAATGCTTGGGTGAACTGTCTCGAGACGAAATGTTTGCAGGAGGACTTCTGGGGAAGATTTAGGGGGATTAGCTCCTTTGCTGAAGGAGTGTGGCATGACTTCTACAGTTTAAATGGGCTTAATTGAGCTTTGTTTAACTCACTTGAGAAGTTAATTAAAATTAAGCATAGCCTAAATCTGTTTGCAGAATGCAATGAAATAGTTTTAGAAATGGTTTTGGATTAACTATCCTTTATGTGTCTGTGTAGGCAAATAGTTATCCACAGATCTTACATCCTGTTGCTCATTTCATTGTGAAGCTTGGGCATGGATTTTGCAGATGAGATTTACAGAAAAGACTTTGATTACTTGTGGTTTATAAAGGAGCTTGGCCCATTGTGTCTGTCCAAGTTAGGGAATGAAATGTGGCATCTTGGCTAAATTCATACCTTGTAATTATGCTGTCTCAATTTCCTCTCAGCTGTGGGGAGAAAGATCAGAAGCGTATGCAACTGGTGTGTGTTATTCATGCTTAGCATTTGAGAGCTTTACAGTTTCAAAGCACTTTGCAGACTTTTAATTAAGCTTTGCCTGTGAGGCTGGTGGGTATTATCTCTAGTCTGAAACTGAAGACAAAGCCAGGCTTTAAAACTGAAGTTCTTGCAGGTAAATGCTGTTAGTTTGCTCCTGTAAGTGAGCTAGCTGTGTGAGATGTTGCTGTCTGCCTTCATTCATGTAAGCTTTTCCTGTGGTTAGGGGACCACAGCTAGAATTGGTTTCTCTGTCTTGTGACTCCAGAAGACCAGACTACATCTCTGCTTAGTGTTGTAGCTTCTGTCTACGACATGAAGTAATCTGCTCCATGACATTGTGTCCATACAGGAGCTTTGTGCCTTGCTGATTAAAGACTTTGTAAAAGTTTAAAGAACCATCCTTAACCTTGTGGATGTGATTAAAGAGACCGCCTGCTTCTATTCTGGGATCTGAGCTGCAAGTTTTAATAATGTACTTTGGTTATTTTTTGGCGACTTAATAAGCTGACAGTTGGCCTTCCATCCACAAGGGAGGAAGTACCATGTGCTGAAGTGGACATAAAACTAGATTGACATAAACAGACCCTGTCGCCCCACCTCATTGCAGATTACACGATCGGGAAGAAAAGTGCCAAAGCTGCAGAGAAGACTGTTCAAGCACCGCTTGCTCCAGCCACTGATCCTGTGTGCCGCATGTCTCAGGGTAGGCTTCCATGCAAGATGGCAGTCACTGGCACTCTTCTCCCTGCAAGTGCTGCCTTTCCAAGTGCGGAAGCGCCAAGTGATGTACTTGTGTGTCTCTTCCTCTCACAGGTGATGTGGAGAAAGCAGTTACAGAACTGATCATAGATTTTGATGTGAACCCAGAAGAGGAGAGCCCATATGAAGCTTTATACAATGCAACGTCCTGCCACTCCCTGGACAGCCTTGCCAGCGGGAGATCTTCAGATCGAGAGTCTGTGAATAAGGAAGTGGAATCAACTGGCCTCAAAGCAGCAGGAGTCAGGCCCGTATGTAGCTATGTGTGTTCATCTCTGCTTGCCTTAAAAAGATAGGTAACTTACCTCCATTTCCATGACTCTGCAGCAGGTTGCCAGTGCCCCAGCTTGAGGAAATCTTTAAGGCCATCCCTGGCGCTGTTTAGAGCAGGCAGGTACCTCTCCTTTTTCACTGGCCTGTTCACGTAGCCTCTGTTGCATCGCCCACGGGTAGCCACTTCTGCGTGCCTGACTTTCACCTGGTGTTGCATCCTTCTGTGTCAGTTGAATACTGGTGCCTGTGAGTTTTGGTTTCTCAGGCTATCGCACTTAGTTGAAGGGCTAACTTCTTCTCTAGAAGAAAGCTTTGGAATCTTTTGTATGGAGCACTTTTCTCACCTCTCTTTCTCTCTGCTTTGCCCAACAGAAGGCTCTTAGGAAATTATCTTTAAGAATATTCTGCTGGAAACTAGTTGGCAGCGGAAACATTTTTTTTTGTGTGTGTGTGTATTACTTGCAGAGATCTGTAGAGGGTACTCAAGGCTTTACAAGGCAATGCAAAGCTCCTGGAACTGTCTCCAAAGAAGTCTTCCTCACCTTCTGTTAGTTGCATCTGCTGCCCCTGTAGCAATCAGTAGCAACACTGCTATGGGGCAGATGGGATGCTGGCCTTGCAGTACGCTGTGTCAGCCTCAGGGTTTGTTTTCTGGTTGGTTTTACAAAGCCTGCTTCATGGATGTATTTTTGGACAAAAGGCAAAGCAGCAACAAACAATTAAACTGCTGGTGTACTGTAACCATGCTTCCTCTCTCTCTGCAAAAAGGTGCATCTTTTTTCCTGTGCTATTAGCAAATACAGTAGAAATGAGACAAAAGCTTTAGATGACAGACATTTCAGCTAGATCTTTCAGGTGTGCAGTAGTAGGTACACTGTCCTGTAACTGACTAAATCTTGGGGGCTTATATCTATGTCCTATCCTGTTTTGATAGTGTCTGAGGTGAAATAAGCTCAGCTCTACTACAAATAAGAAAATATGAGAGGCTGAACTGCAGTGAAAGTGGAGAAGAAAGAGGGACATACTGCAGCAGCTTGCTGGAGTTCCTCCCAAAGCTTGAGTTTTTTGGAATGAGTGGTTCACCTCTGCTGTCTTTCCCTTTGCCATGAGATGGAGCTGTTGCAGGGCAGGAGATGACCTAGAGATGTGTTTAGCTCTGTATTGAGACAAGGCGGCGCAGCTCGTACTGCCCACAGGCAATCGTGGAATATTTGAGGAATGCAGTGCAGCAGTGCCTCTTGATCTCTAGAGTTGTTCACTGTAAAAGGTGCCTCTGGAATCACTTATTCCCATTAGGGTTTCAAGACACAAGTGATGAGTCTTCCCTTTCTACCCATTTGCGTGAGTTCATTACTGACCTTCACTGAAATGCAGTGCCATTGAGATTACCAGTCTGGGTCTGAAAGAACTGGCTTAAGTAATAAAGCAATAAACCTGTGTACGTGGCACCTTCCACCCGAGCAGTTTTATTCTCCTGAAAGCATAGTGGATGCTCACACGAGTCGAAGCTGGCCTTGTGCAGTGTCACAGCTGCGGGGCAGAACTGGGTGGTCTGTGTTGTCAACAGCAGTCCATCCACAGGACTGCAGTACGGTGAATCCGCAGAAGGGGCTCTCTGCCTGAATAGGTGTCCTGCTGGAGAGGAGGAGGAGGAGGACAGGCAGCAGCCATTGCCAAGCTCTGTGCTGCTAGGATTGAACTTCACCACCATCCAGATTAATTTGAGGAGGTCCTTACCACGCGACATTCACAGCAGGGTGGACATAGTGTTGGTAGAAACAGAAGGGGATGTGCTTTTAACGCAACGCACTTGACAGTGGTCTTCTAATCCGCAGAGAGAGCGCCCACCCCCGCCTGCCAAGCCACCACCCGATGAAGAGGAGGAGCAGCATGTGGAGAAGAAGATAGGCCATGGTGCTTCCTGTGAGGTATGTGGGACTTGATCTGGGGTCTTTTATAGGAGTGGGGTTTAAAGGTCAGTTTTAATAATTTGGGAAGAGTCAACTACGATATTACCTCCCTTGCAAGTCAGGTTGTGAATGTGAAGTTTTCTTTCAGTCCAGCATTGCTGCTGTCACTTGCCATGGGAACTTCCTTTGTGTGGTTCTTCCAGGGCACCTCTGTGGTGACCTTCAGCCTTACTTTCCTATTCTTGGCTGAGAATTCCCTTAGGAAGAGATTTTTCTGAATCACGTTGCAATGTGGACTGCTGCCCACTTGTAATGATCCCACCAAATGCATCTTCACTTGGTTCTGAAACCCAGAGGGCCATTGCTTCCTGCTTCCTCTTAGCTTCCAGCTGTGGAGGAGATGCGTGGGCTTGTGGGTCACACTGATGTGAACAGGAATCAGGGGCTTCAATTAAGCCAAGAGTCTGGCCCAGCACATTTTCAAGCCGTCTTCTGCAGAGGTCAATGCATGTGAGCTGCTTTTTGATGAAACTAAAGCCCTTCTATTCTGCATTGTTGCTCCTGGGCTTCCTGTTGCTCATTTTCATTCACCTGCCTGTGAACCTTAGATGTGAGGGCTCTCCAGGAGACCTGTGTATGGGGGTGTGTGAAACCACAACTGTCCTGGCAACTTCTGCTGACGCCCAGGAAAATCTTCAAAGCAAAACCAAGTCTTGCGGATTTTCTTGCTCTTCTGAATGCAGTAGGTTGTATGTAAAAACAAGTGGAGCGTGTGCTGCGTCTAGCTGTCGGAAGGGACTCCAGTTCACCAGATGCTTTGCTTTGAATGTGTTGATCTGCTGAAGTTCCTACAAGGCATGAATGGGATCTGTTTTCTGAAGTATGTTAAATCTACATGAGACATGAGTAAACTTTATTTGCTTTGGTAGAACTGACTTTTCATAGAGAGAGTAAAGCTCCAAACAGTGCATAAACAGTGAAACTGAAATGTGAAGTTGTGGGCTGATTTCTCCACTGCTGTTAAAAAGGTTTTGCAGTGTGTGATAACCAGTGCCATGGCCGGCTCTGGGCAGAGGAGAGCCGGGTAGCAGGTCCTGGCACAATTGGAAAGCAGAACTTGCTCATGATGATAAGCACAAGGGAGGGAAATGGTGCAGTGACTTCTCCTGCTGAGTTATCTTGCCATATTTCATTATGAAACACCTGCTGTGTTGTCCTGCCAGGCTTTGGAAACATGATCCGTTAAAGGAAATCTTGCTGGCAAATAGACTTGTACGCAAAGGGACTCGCTGGGGAGATGCTGATTTGCAACCAATTTAATTGATAGAACTTATGGGCAGCCTGTGTCACTGCCTGGAAATGACCGTCTAGATGTACTGATTCTTTTTCTTTGCTTGCTACTTCTGGGGTGCTCTGCATTTCTGACTCTTGCCCATTATTTATCATCTCGGTACGTGTTCGCTCTGGGTTGGGCAGGCGTGAACAAGAATATGCTTAGGGAATGCTGTAAACGTCTCGTTGCAGCATACTGATCTGCCATCCTCCAGACCTGCTCTCACATTAGAGCCAGGACAGTTAGTCATTGAATATTCTGAGGTTGGGCCAAACTCTAGTTTCAAAAGTAGTCTTTTTATTCCGTTGCCAAAATGGGGCTATCAGTCAAAACAGATGTGCATAAACAAGAAACTTTTAACTTTCATCATGGAAAAACATTAGCACAAACAGGCAAAAGAGCTGATTGTTTGGAGGTGCTTGAGTGCCTTCTTCCACTATCTGCAGAAACCTTCTGGCTTTTTAGCTGAATAAGAGTCTACGTTGTCAAATTAAACTTCAATTTCGTTTGTTTACTACTCATCTCCGAAAGGGAAGTGCAGACAAAAGACAAGGCGCCATGATTGTTCCAGCAGTTTGGTCTGCAGTTCTGGTGGGGGAGGAGAAAGAAATGAGTTACCCTTTTAAAAAGTCTTTCCAAGTCCACTGCTGTGGATTAAGTACACTTTAAAGAGCATGCTCATTATTGACAACATCTTATTTTGGGGCTTTGCTAGTAGTGAATATTTATACATGCTAACCAACATGTATAAATAAATGAAAGATTAATTGGAAGCAAGTTTTATTTGATTTTGTTACTCCTGGTTGCAGAGCCTACGGAGCAAGCATGGTTCTCCAGCAAACAATGCTCTTCATTTTGAGTGAATTTGAACCTGAAACTCTTATTTGAAGCTTGGGAGGGTGAGAGGTGGAGAAAATAAAGTGTAACCAGGCCTATAAATGCACAAAAGTTTACAAAGCAATAGCTGGGAATTGTGGGCTGCTGGGGAGCTACTGCCTTTGCACACATTTAGTGCATTTGAAAGAGAATGGTGCAATAATCATCGTCTGCAGGAGCCTGAGGAGTATACTCATGCCTGGCTTGAGGTCCAGGCTACAACTGTTACGACAGGCTGCTGCTGTGCAGTATTTTTCCAAGATCTCTGGCAAGAGCCTGTTACCTACTGTTATGGTCTGATGTTTTTATGCCACCATCTGGTCAGAAGTTTTTTTCCTTAATTTGCGCATTATGAACTCCTTCACCTGAAAAGGAGCAGGTCTGCCTGACAGCTCATGCTTGAAGCAGGTAGAATAAATACTTTCTTTGCTGGACACGGCCCATTTCCTCCCATTGAGAGAGTTGATTTAAAAGCCAGCTGGGCTTATGCAGAAACAGTACACGGATGTAGGACTCCTGTCTGTGCTGCTGACTCCTGCGTGTCTTTCTGAGACTCCCTAAGCTTCCAGGAGTCCTGGCTAGATTGCAGTCCGGTAGGTACCTATTTGTCCTTCATGCAACGCTGATGCTTTCACTTTGGGTAAGAAATTGGAGGTGGTGCTTAGTCTGCTGTCTAGACAGTGGCAGTTCCAGGAGTCTGTGGGCACTATGAGAGCCCGCCTTGGGCAGATGTGTTGTTCAGACCTGTTATTCCCTGTTTTGGCAGCAGGTAGGGTTCACTTGCTTTCTGGCTTGGATTTGACCCCACCATGGTTGGCTGTAGGCATACATGGCTCCTGGGACTGGGTTGCATCAACCTGCCGGGGTCTGGCCAGGAGATGGTGCTGAAAGGCAGCTGACCATGCAGGCAGGATGCCTTGAAGTCCAGTTTAGCCGCATTAGCACTGGGATGGCACATGTGGCTCCCTAAGGACATCGAACGCCTGCCATCCTTGGCGTTGAGGTAGACCAACATGGGCCAGTCTGCAGCAAGTCTCATTTGGATCCCACATCAAGACCTCATCCCTGCACCATGGATGGTGGCTTTCCAGAGCAGCTTGCTGGAGGGTTTGCCAATATTACAAACAAGCTGTAACCAAGGGGCTTTGGGGGATTTAAATGAGCGCAATTGCTGCTGCACATCCTGAGGCTCAGCTGAGTTTATGTAGTGTTACCTGAGGGCTCTTTAGTCCAAAATATGCTGTGCATCCTGAGGTTAGAAGTGCTAGATCTGAGACTTGTGAGAAGGTGACAGGGACTCAGGCGCTTTTTTTTTTTTTTAGCCATGTCCTAATAGGGCCAGCAACTAAATAGTGAATGACGATGCAAATTCCAATAGCAACAGTAAGTCTGAGTTGGGATGAACAGGAATAACGGTCTCAGCTCTTTTCCCCTCTCCAGGCTGCCTGCAGACCTTGCACAGTGAATCAGTTGGTCAGTGCTAGAAAGCTGTTGGCAGCCTTAAATACTAGAAAATAAAGGGGGCTTGGAGGTTTGGGGGGGTTTTTTGAGGGTGGGGGCGGAAAGGGCGAGTATTACATTTTGGATTGCACTCCACAGTGAAGGTGTTGCCTCTGCCAGTTCCTTGCTTAAGCCATGGCATAAAGAGGCCTTGTGCTTTATTGCTGGGATAAACAGCATTGCTTTGTGGAGCACTACATTATGCTGTTTTTCATTATTAGGCCTCTGTTGCACGAGGAAAGAGGAGGGGAAGTGGAGCTGAGGAAGAGGAACACCCTTACGAGCTGTTGCTTACAGCAGAAACTAAAAAGCCAGTGGTGGTGGATAGGAAAACAAAAGGTAAGTGACCATCCAAAAAGCAGAGCTGTTTGCTTAGATGCATTTAAGGAAAATATAGAGGGCAGAGAGTAACTGGAACAATTAAACTCTTTGGGTGGGGCGGCTGGAGTCTGGATTGCAATTGTTTTGTTTCCTGGTAATCTTCACTTTTATAAAGGAGAGATCTAAATGTTCCTGTACAAAATGTGCATGGAGGAAGGGCAACTCTGCTGTTTTGACAGCTAAGAGATTGCGAGTGCCTCCTCTGTTAACTTAAAAAATAAGCAAATCTTGTGCACAGTCAAGTAAATGCAGAGGGGCGGAAGGCTGTGCCGTGTTGTTACAAGTGAGATGAACCAATGCAAGTGTTTAAATGAGCCGTATTCTCCACCCAGCTGAATTTGAAGACCTGCTGGCGCTGCATGTTTGTATCGGCAGATGATTGGCCCTGCTATCCCGGTCCTAGAATCAACATCCCGCTCTGTATTACAGCTAATTCAAGATGTAAAGTAACAAAGGAGGAAAAGAAACCTGTGTAGAGCAAGCCCCTTTCTAGATCTGACTGAAAATCCACTACATAGCCAGGTTAAGCATCGAACTAGCCTCTCGTCTCCCAGAGGGACTTCCGTGCTTTACAAAGGATCTGGGAACACCTTGTTTCTTGTGTTTGGCTATTGCTGGGCTGCTTGGCTTTCCTTCAGTGACAAAAGATTTGTTTAGAGGAAAAACATCTCTTACTTTATTCAAAAGTCCTGAGCAGGAATTTGGAAGGATTTAGTTTGGACTCTAAACCTGGAAACGGTCTCACTTTGAGGATGAACAGAGGATAATGAGGACTCGATGTGATGCCTCATTTACTGCCCTGTAAGACCTGCAGCTTTTTCTTTTTTCCTTCTTGCAGCACGATAGCTTTTTTTGAGTCCTGCCATGCTCTGAGCTTGTCTAAGGTGTCACAGGAGGTCATTGTTTTCCCACCAGCACTTGCCAAAGCCACTTGCTGCCCATGGCAAAGTTAGGATGCTTTTCAGGTTGGTGCTTTGTGGTCTTGGCCAGGAATAGTCCTTGGGCAACAGCCATTGAACCAGAAACTTTCAGGCTATCTTTTCAGTGTCTAGCTATTGCTGGTTATTCAAGTGCGAGCTATTCCTGGCTGCTTTGCTTCTTTCTCTGGCTACTGTGTCTAGGCTTGATTAATATGAATGAAGGTATATCGTAATTATGTGTCAGATTAAAATAAAATCTCAAAGTAATCCATTTGCTTGTCCTTGATGCAAATCTCTTCCCCTGAACCCCTCATGATGGCGGTACTCCAGGCAGTCTAAGCCCCATTTCATGGAGAGGTTGTGGGAAGCATCTTTAGCCTATTAAGGATCCAGAGTAAAGTCCTGTCTGTACAGCTAGAAAGATAATAGTTGTGACTTCAGGGTTTGCAGCCTACGGAGAGTGTTACTGTGTTTGCGGCAAACCTAGAGCCCTTGCCACTGTTGTAGTGAGAGAAATCCCCGGATGCAGTTGAGTTTTCTCATCTTTCAGGACTTGTCTGCTCTTTAAAATGCAATTAGCACTATGACTAGTACTGTGGAGCCTTCCATCTGGTGGAGGTGAAGGGGCTCAGCCAACGTATTTCTCATCTGTTGCATTTCTTAAGCTTGCCAGGGCCATATCCCATTGCTCTTTGTGGTGGATCTGGAGAAAGGGGCACAATTGTTTGTTCCCCTTCTCCAGAGGGTACCAGCTGTTTTCCAAACCATCTCAGAGTGATCCCTGTGGCACGACTGCACGTGTGGCAGTGTCCCTGGCTGGCAGCTCTCCCTATACTGCAGGAGCAGCTGAGCTTTGACAGAGCCCCATGTCATCTTTCACCTGCTGCTGGTCCTCTCGGGGACTTCAGGCTTCTCAACCCCAGTAGGAAATGAGGCACTATTTTTCTCTTTTGTGTTTAGCACTGACTATTTTTCTGGTTTGTGTTTTTTGTCTTTGCTTTCTGTCCCAGCGTTACAGGTTGCTGCTTTCTGCACGTGAGTTTCATAACTGCTGGAAGGGTGGATCAGCTTTGAAATCTGCTTTATTACACTGGGAACAAAAGCAAATGTTTCCGGCTTTCGCAGTAGTTGGGGTCAGATGCCAGAAGGGCATGTGGAAGCAGATGTAGCTAAGTATGAAATGCAAGGTATATGCTGATGGGGGCGGAGAAGATGCATTTAGGGAGCGGCAGAGTCGTTTGGGCAAAAAGTTAAACAAGGGCCGAGTGAGGACTGAAACCTTAATGGGGGTGTTGGAGAATTTTCCCATCTCTGGATCAGAAAGGTCCTGGAGCATCAAAGGCAGCAGCTCAATCCCAAGACAAGGAGCAGGCTGAAGCATAGCTTTGAATTGCTTCTTGGCCCGTGATCTGAGAGGCTGGGCTTCTAGATGTTACTTGATGAGTTCTGGAGGAGCCTTTGGTCAGAAGAGAAGGACTCTGATTCTTGCGGGCTATTGAGAAGGCCTTTTCAAGGCAGCGGAAAGGCTGAATTTCAGGCACGCTGTTTTTAATGGTGCCTTTCATATGCGATAGCTGCCTTTGTTCCTCTTGCAGCAAGTTGTCTTGTAGCCAGTGACTAGATGAATGTGGTATTATCCGCTTGGCTTGGGTTGCCTTTTGTGTATGTTACAGCAGTTTGCTGTCACATGCTGGAGCACTAGGAAAAGTTGGACTAATGTTTTGGGCAGAGTATCAGGAGAGGTTTGAGCCAAATGCTTTCCCATCCCCTTTGGTAAGGAAACTACGTGCAATCATATGCATGAAGTCAGGGCATTCAGACCTCGTAATGGGACTTGTAAATAAGCCAGGAGTGGCAAACTGACCGGGAGGAGACTGTAAACTCCTGCTGTGTTCAGAGAGATTTGATGGAGGATGAATACAGAAACTGAGTTTTGATGTCTGTCTCGCTTCTCAGGAGAGTCATCCACAAGTGCTGTCAGCAGTAACCATCTGCAGGTAGGATTGACTTGGCTCCTTCTGACAGTTTTTAAGAACTGATACTTCTTGAGGTTCTGCAGTGCTTGTTCCATAGGAAGCCCAGCTTGAAATCCTTGCTTTTGCCCTTCCTCCTGCTAGAGTTTTTCTTTATGGTTTTACTGGCTTGACTAGATGTATGGCTGTGCTCTAAACCAGATATCTGACCCAATGATAAAAGACAAAATGTGCTGCTGAGAGATTTGAAGAAAATATCTTTTCACAGAGCCAGAGGATGGCTACAGAAGCAGTGGGATCGGTATCACTATAGGGAATCTGTGGGGACACATGCGTATTGCAAACAAAGGTTGGAAGGGACAGAAACCTCTTGGATTGCCATGAGGTGAATGATAGTGTAGAAACACAGCCTGCATGCCCTCCCTTGGTTTTATCGTGGCTGGAGGACAGACCCTTTTCCTGTGTCTCAGGTCCAAGCCTGCATTTCTGCTGTCATCATGTATTTAGAAGCTTCTGTGCAGAGTCACATTGGTGATCTCTCTAAGCAGCTCAGGCAGTGTTTTATTGCCCTTTCTTCAAAGTAGAATGGGGGAGGGAGTACAAATGAGCAGAAGTTCAGGTAGCTTTTGGAGGATAAACTCTGCCCAGAATGACTGAGCTTGAGACCAAAACAGGAGTGTACTGTACACTTCTGGGTTTCAGAAGAGTACCTCGCTGTGTAGAAGAGCCTTTGCTTGAATTCTACTGCAGTTGAAGGTTATTTTTGTACCTCTAAAGTAGCACTCTAAAAGCCACCTTCCCTCTCTTCTCTGGGCTTCTCTGCCGCAGGAGATAGATTTGCATGCTCTTCACTTGACAAATTCTGGCATGATGTGGCATGGGGAGCCTTTTCTATATGAAAGCTAAAGGCTAGCATATGCCCTCGCTAGTTTTAAGGTTAGGGAGCTTAGCAAAAAGCAGCTGCAATAACAGCTTCATTCTCCTAATCCAGGGGCATGAAACAAATCCTGCTGCTGATACGTAGGGAAAGCAGTTGCAGCTTAGTGTTAGGAGTTTAGGGAAGTTGTTTGTATCTGGAATCATCAGGCTGCTGGCAGGGAAGCTCTTCATTGAATCCTCCCTGGGAAGCAAACAGTCTGTACCCAGGAAGGGGTTCCTGTTCTCAGTAGGCGATGGAAGTTCCTCCTGTCGGTGGAACCTGCAGCACACATTGGCTGGAGAAGTCGGGATGTCTGTGCTTGGGTGTGAAATGAGCTAAGGCAGTTGGACAGAAGTCCCTGTCTTAAGGTCATCTCCCTTTCGGAGTTAAAAGTTGTAACTGGAGGAGGGTGCTTTCAAATGCCTTGGAAGGGCAGCGGATGGATAGAACTGGGATCTCTGCTTTTCTAGCATCTGAATATTATTTTTCCCCTTCTCCAAGTTCACTACACCCTTGAAAATGAGTGCTGCTCATCTTTTTGCCATGAGAAAAGTGATTGGCACATCAGCTGAATCACGTCAGTAACCTCTCCCAAAAAGGTATACCTTCCCGAGATGGCCAGTGGTTATTCTGGTCCCTCTGCTAGCTGTCCTGAGGCACCTTTAGTTGAAACCTCCAAAAGATTCCTTGAAGCTCCAGGACCCCCTGGGGAAACCCTCTGTGTTCCTGCCATGTGCACCTCAGTGGTAAAAAGGAGCAAGATTGCTCTTCCCGCCGATGTTGGTTCTTGTGTCTGCAGCTTTCAGCCCGGGTCTGTGTTACATGCTCTGAAATGTCTCCTTCAAGATGTTCTTTGCATCTTCTGAGCAAGTGCTGTTGCCCTTGCTTCATCCCTTCCTTCCCTGGCAGCTGCCTTGTATTTCGAAGTCTTCCTCTGTTGCCTGAGGATGAATGGGCGGCTGTGATTTCCGCTCAACAGGAGCCCGTTTGTGAGTCTCTGGAGCTGGATTTGGAGCACTTTGTTCTGGCTGGACCCAAGTGTTCCAGCATGTGGCATAAACTTTTGCCAGCCGCCTCTCTGCCTTCAGCAGAAATGTCAGTAAAGGTTAAGCTGGGGCACAGAAGAAATTATTTCCAAGGAAGGAAAGAGGTTAAGAAGAAAGGCTGTTGATTTTGCAAAAGTTTTTCCCTCCCCATCAGGTTAATGTGACTGTCCCGTCAATGCTGTGTGCCCCTTACGAGCTCGGTAGCTTTTTCTTACTAATCCCAGTCTGTCCTATGAATACAGCGTGTCTGATCTCTTCTAAGGTTTCTCTCCAGCATTACAGCTTCCTGACTTTATGCAAAGTAACTGAACATAGTCTGGTCTCACGATCTTCTGATCGGCTGCTGCTGTTGGCACTCCCCAACCAGCATTAGGAATGATGCTGGTGACACCGCCACCCCGCAGGGGATGTGCCTTCCCCCTTGGCAGCTTCAGTTGCAGAACTTGTGCCCGTGCAAAATAATCAACAACTACTTCATTGTCCTGGAATCTTTAACTCATAGGATCCGGAATGAAATAAGCCCTCGCATCACTCGATCCCACCGAGAGGCGAGGTCTGCCGGCGCGCTGCCCTGGCAGTTAACCTCCGTTCCGGCTTTTGCTGTTCCTGACTCAGCTGCCAACTGAGCAAGCTGCTTTTAGCATTTCTGTGGAGTAAACAAATGCCTGCGAGAGGGACCAGCTACCCTCATCAAACACAGAGCCCATGAGACCCCAGGACCTAAAGCGGTTTGCACAGACAAATGACTAATTCCGTCCTTTCCTGCCTCATTTTTGGTGTAAGGGCAGACCACAAAACCAGATGGGTGCCAGTGTTTGAGAAGGACCTGGTCAAGCCTAGTGCTGGAAGGGATGCCTGGGGGGAAGGAGTTGATCTTGCTGTTGTTGCTAATAGCTTGCTTTTAGTTAAAGATAGGTAAAATTCATTAGTGTATTTTACCTCGCTGAAATGAGGATTCCTTTGCCTTGACTTCCAAGAGCTGCTGTCTTGCAAAGCAAGCAGTTTCCTCTTCATGTCTAAACATCCTCTCTGGATGGAGCCATGTTATAGGGGAGCTTTGCTTTATTGTTCCTCTGCCGCAATGTTTTTTTGGTCCTCAGACTGAAGAGTGTTTCTTCAGCACTAAGTGGAAGTGGTTAAAATTTGCAAGCAATTATGGGCAGCTGTAAGAATCCCTGGCAAACAAAAGTTATACTTCTCAGCTGTACCAAGTTTTGCTTTTATAGTTCAAGTGCACGTGTGTAAAGTGACCAAGGTGAGTACATGTCTGTGCACACGCTTGGCAATTGGGATCAGTCAATTATTCGTGATTTATGGAGGACCCTGGTACCCGATATTAAAGATGTTGGTGCAGGAGTAGCTGAGTAAGTGTCATATTTCTGGGACAGCCGGTATTCCACACAGCTTGCTGCAGTAGATCAGACCATTCTGTGTTCAGTGGTTTGCTTGCAAGAGAGAGACTTTTTGATCAAGATTTTTATTGCGTAAACTGTTTATTTCTCTCCCCTGAGTAAGGAGGAGAGGTTAAACTCGGAAACCACTAGGGAGGAAAGCAGTGTTGTTTTTGGGGAATGGATTTTGGAACTCGCAGGTTGATTACAGTCCAGAAGTTTTCCCACCCTGCAGCTCGTGCCAAGAGCAGGGAGCGCTGCTCTAAATAACACTTTGGCCTTTATGGAAATGTATCAGATGTTCCAGGAGCCTCCGTCGCTGCCTCTCCTACCTCACTTGCTCTCTCTGCAGGATATAGTTAGCACTTCTCTTAGCCTTATATAGCAAGGCCTGATAGTTAGTGTTAACAGGAATAAAACAACAAGGAGAGCTGCCAGATTGCATAAATCAGGCCAGTGTTTGGAATTTCATAAATGCCATGACTTTGGGTACAAGTTGAGCACGCGGAACAATACTGAACTGTTCTCTCTTTATCTCTCCCTCCCTCGCTGAGGGAGGGCAGGGGGAGAGCTGGAATTTTGCTGCTTCTTCCATGTTTTTAATTTATTTCTTCCCCCCCTTCCCTGTTTTCATCCCCTTCAAGACCACAGGAGGAGCAGTGGCAGCCGCAGCCAGGACTCTGCCGACGCCCAGGACATCCAGGTTCCAGACCAGTTTTCAGGGCTGCTTCATGGTTCTTCCCCGATCTGTGAGATAAGTGAGGACCCTTTCAGGCTCGTTTCCTCCACGGAGAAAGGAGGCACGGAAGCTACAAGCCACCCACCTGCTATGCAGCTGGAGGATGCTGACTTACCTGCCTCTGGATCAGTACGGACCAGCTCGCCAGACCAAAACCAGAAAGTGGTCTACGCAACCGTCCAGCACACGCACGTCAACCGGGCGGATCCTGAAACTGTAGTCACGCCCCACGTGTTACAGCACCCCGGCGGTGCTGAAGAAGAGGGGGACAGAGCTGTGGGCAGAGCCCACCCAGGGAGCAAGCCCAAAGCCGAGCTTAAACTCAGCCGCAGCTTGTCCAAATCGGACTCTGATCTTCTGACCTGCTCTCCGACAGAGGACGATGCCATGGGGAGCCGGAGCGAATCGCTCTCGAACTGCAGCACTGGGAAGAAGAGGCTGGAGAAGTCCCCGTCCTTTGCTTCGGAGTGGGATGAGGTAAGGCTGACCTTGCTTAAGAGCTGCTGTGCCAGGAATGAATCTGTACAGCATGAGCTCCTCTCTTACCGCACTGGCCTTCGGAGCAGGTCCTGGGTGTTTTTCATTACTTGAACTAACTCCCACATCACATTAACAGGCAAATACTTACTTCTAAGTCTCTAAGGTGTTAAATGCCAAAAGATAGGCTTAACTGGAGTGGCGGAGAAGCAGAATTGCAAGAAGTGAGGGGCTTTTCAAAGCTTTTTAAGTTGCTCAAACACAGGGCTTGATTTCTTTTCGGCAAGCCAGATAAGTTTTTACATACCTGAAATGAGGGAGAGTTGATAACAGTGCTTCTCACAAATCTTCACGTTGACCTCCTCTTTCCAGTTCTTCCCCTGTGGACTCTCCCAGCATTTGGAGGAGATGTTTTGTTTCTGGGTCCCTGCTGCTGCAGGGCTGAGCAGTGTCCTGGGTTCGTGGGGATGGAAGGAAGAGAGTAACTAGGCTGTGTTTTGTGAATTTAATAGCTCCCGCTTTCCTCTTCACATATTTATTTCAGAGGCTTGTTAGAAGTCACTTTATTATAGTACAGGAGGCCCATGGATAGTTAAATATTTCATGCTCAGAAAGTTGGCCCTAGTGAACCACTCAGGCGAGATTAAGTGTCCCTCTGAAATTCAGCACCGCAGCATTACTGAAACATTCTTTGGAGATGAATCTCTGCTGGTAGAGCAGCAGCGCTGCAGAAGAGATAAGCTCAGATGAACTACTCTGTACACTGAAAGGAAATAAAACCCCTGGTGTGGTGCTGGGGGTGTGGAGCTGCGTGTGCCGGGCGTGTAAACTCGTGGGACGGTTGTGCCCCTGCTCACCTGCGCACTGACTGATGCTCAGCTGCGCCTCTGATTCTGACTCAGAGATAAAATCCTCTTTTGGGGAAGAGGGAGGTGTTGAGAGATGCTAAAAGCACAGTGGGAATCCCTCCTCAGTACAAGCACATCTTTCAGTTCATACTCTCACTCCCTGCAGTGTTTCAGGGTTGCCAAATATATTTATTTTCTTCTGTAGCTGTTCTGGTTGCGGAGGCTTTGCTGTTGATTACCTGGGTCCGTTGTACTATGGCTGTGAGTGAAAGATTCTGCAGCAGAAGGCTTATTTGAAAGGACCAGATCATTTTCCCTGTGCTTTCCATGCCTAACCGAACTGTTTACAGCAAACATTGAAAGGGAAGGAGCCTTTGGCTTTACAGTGCTGCTCGACTTTACTAGTAGCAGAGGTCAAGTGTTAGTGTGCCTGTGCTTCCTCTGCTCAGAGAAATGCACCCGCAGATCTGCTTCCCTGCTTGTAAACAAAAAGCATCATTTCCACCCACTGTCGGCCTAACAAGCCACAAGAGGAAAATCTGCTTTTCCTTCCTTGTTATGTTGAGGTGAGGAAATCGGAGAAAGAATTTGAAAAATTCACATCTGTCTACAATGGGGCAGGTCTAACTTAAAGCCATCAGGTTTTGATAGTACACTTTTTTATTTGTCTTCCTGTTTCTGATGTAATTTAAACATTTTGTGGAATTGCTTTAATCTGGTAGTAGCATCCTGTGGCCGGAGCATTGATTTGCTTTGGGGTCTCACAGCTGTCATGGACCAGCCTGAATGCTTCTGGACAAGGGTTTCTCCTCCCTGCCTCAGTTTCCCCATCTGTGAGATGGCGATAGCCTCTTTTTGCAGAATGTTTTTATTCCTAGTGAAAAATACCATGTAAAGTGGAATATTCTTGCAAGAAGGAGGACAAGAAGCTGGGGATTCTCTGCCTTTAGCTTGATTTGCTCTTTAATTTCCAATGACTGTATGGAGGCATGTGGGGTCTCATTCTGACTCCTGGTGCAACGGTTGCACTCTTTGATGCTGTCGGCAGGAGAGGCATGGTTCACGGGGCAGAGCAATTTTCTATAGAAGCAGCATAAAAGGGAGCTGCTGATAGTCAGTAGTTTCTATGGTCAGGCCAGTTCTTGCTATAAAATACCCTAAAGCAGACTCCTGTGATTGGTAAGAAATGGTAGAGAGGCACCTGCGGGGAACGTTTGGAGTCTTTTTGCAGTGATTTATATGTGCAGAAAGGGGCTGATCTGGCTGGTCATAATGGCAACAATGAGACTTAAACATAAATGTAGTGCTGTTGCTGGAGGTTTAATTAGTTCCCTGAATGGGATAATGCAGCTGCTCTGAATTAGATGCAACTTGCAGCCTCTGAATTTACCAGGCTAATATAAAACCTTGTTGAGCCGCCCCTGTTAGCAATGATTTGGCTCTTCCTCTGTGTTGAGGGGAAACAATGGCAGATTTATATGCATTATTCTGTTAATTTTAATAGTCTTTATGCAGGCAACTGAGGAGGAAGGCGATCCACGTGCAGCTCTATGCAACACGCAGCTGTAGCAAACAAGCTGGGGACTTTGTGCCCGCTGGCCTTGCCAGCAGTAGGTGTGTCTGTTCAGGGCGCCGGGGACTTGGGGAGGGACCCGTTTCTGTCCGTGCACAGATGGGATCCATGGCAGAGGCTGGGCCAGCATCGCTCTGGGCCATGGGTGACTGGGGACAGCAGGAAGATCTGCCGCTTGGCTGGGGAAGGGACATGACCCTTTGCTTCTGAGCGCTGCCAATGCCCTTTGTTGGAAGTGGAAGGTGGTGCCGGCTTTGCCAAAAGGGTGGGATGGGGAAGAAATGATTCACTTGGCAAAGCCCGTTGCTGTTTCCAGTTGCAGCTCCCCTGCTCCAAGGGCCTGGCACAAATAACGGATGTCGACAGTGCTGCTTTGTGCTCCGTGCTGCCAAGGATGTTCAGCGCGCATCCCGTCCGCCTCCCGACCCACCGGCTCCTGCACGGGAGCGTCACCGCACACGTGGTGCCCCCCACGGCTGCTGTCGGATACAAACTCTCTGCAAGCAAGCCAGAGAAATTACTAAAGCAAACAGCAATGTATTGCCCAGGGAGAGGGGTGAGGACCGAAAATGCTCGATCCTTCGCTTGAGTGGGAAGCAAGGTGGGGGAGAGGAAGTGTGTGAGGGGGTAGAGCTCCTAGTCAGCATAAATATTAGAATCCCTCCAAACTTGGCTGAGGTCTAAAGTGATAAATTTGGGTTTTTGTAATCAGCTCATAAATATTTAGCAGCCGGGAGAAGAGTGCGTGGTAGTCGCAGCTCGCTATGAATTTTGCATAGGAGAATAAACTGTGTTTGCACTCCTGAAGGCGGAGGGGGGCTCTCGGCGCCCGGCTTGGCTTGGCTGCCAGCCCCTTTCCGGGGCAGATTAACATAAAGGCACATTAACTCTGCCTTCCTCCGCCGCAGAGCAGCCCCAGCCCTGCGCGTGTGCCCGGGTCCGTGCACCAGCCCTGCTGTAGATGGGCAAACCTTGCGGCGTACGAAGCGGTACCGAAGTGCCTCGGAGTTTGCTCGGCCAACCCTCCCCGCCTCAGCGTGTGATCCAGGAAGGGCTGAAGTGATTTCTCTCTTGGTGATAAGCTATTCCAGGCCTCCTGGGATAAAAGGCAACATATACGTGGTCTAATACGAATCGTAAGCCGTTAAACAAAGGCTAAGGGGTATATAACTGCTTTATTCTGGGCTGCTGCAATCGGATCGCTGTCAGACAGGTTTAGGTGTTGAATGGTTCCTTTTTCCTCCTTTTCCAGGTCCTTTTATCCATTTGATAGATCAGCGTGTCTGTGCCAAAGGATGAAGTAAAACTTCATCACGTTGACTCGCTGAGCTGCCGCAGCTCTGCTGGTGAAGCAGCTTCCTGACAGTGAGAGTAATTAGCAGGGATGTAATCTCGCGAGGGAAGCGACGAAGGACGATGGCTGGACTTGAAGATGTTGTAAAATAGTCCTCTCAAAACTGCTCTGGCTTGAGAAGTCGGGCGGTGACAAACACTTTCTGTCCCTTAGGTGCCGTCAGGTTGATAAAAGTGACGTACGGGTATTGGGAAGCCGCGTCCTATGCAGCCTCCTCACAGGACCAAGCGACGCGATGAAGTGAAAAACCCCTAAATGCAAATACCAGATAAACGGGCTCCATTTGTAGAGGAGGAAGAAGAGGGGAGACGTTTGGCTTCGGCAAAACGCAGAGATGTTGGGTAGTGTCTTGGCTTCGGGAATTTGGGTTTAGTGCCTTTGTCACAGATTTCCGATGCGCTGCTGAGAAACTCTCTCCGTTGTTCATTTCTGCTTTGTACCCCACGCTCCTGCCTGTGCCGCAGCGCAGCCAGGACACCCCGCTCTGGGGCGGGGGGTTTGGTTTTTTGAGGATTGCAGTGGGGTGGTTCTTAATGCAATCTCCTGGATCATCCATGTATTCCTGGATCATCCGTGTGTCTGTGCAATCTGATGTCACTAGCCCGTGTCTGCACCCACGCGCTGAGCAGAGACATCTGGAGTTGAGGCACGGTGCTGACTTAGCTGCCTTTCTGGGTTGTAGGTAAGAAAAAAGACAGGTTAGGTCTTCAGGGGCGAAGAATGACGCAGGCTACTGAGAATTAGCCTCAGTCCTGGCTCCTGACATCCCTTAATCCTCCACTTCCAGCTCTCTGCTATCAAGTAAGTAGCTGTGATGCTGAATTTGGAATGAGCGCTGGGCTTAGAGGTTCCAGCATCAATTTCACGAAATGAGGTAGTTGCTTTGTGTTCTGTCTTTAGCTCTTTTAGGAAGAGATTAAACCTCCTTCAAAAGAAATTTAGGGAACTGAATAAAACGTGCATTTTACTTGAGCTTACTTTAGAAAAAAGGAGATGTGCGGTCTACCACTTTGATGCTTTTTTTCCCCAAAATGAATTGGTTGAAGAATTAATGAATATTCTGTCGCTAATTATGGCGCTGGACAACCATCACCACCTCCTGTGAATAATTGTGGTGGTGCTCCGTCTTTCGCTATTGCCACAGAAGGAATTCTCTCCCATTTGCAATAACTATGGCTGTGGTGTTTCACCTGTTGCTGGTGCATTTTTGGGGTCTTAATGTCAC